GAGTGTTGTTGTAAACCCCCCCCCCCCCCCCCCCCACTACTGAACCCAGCATATCGCAATTTGGATATCCATGATATGTAGAAAATTAAATTGCCTTGCTAATAACTTGTAATGACAAACAGATGTATTGTCTCCATTTTTGCACCAGGAGGTGCTGGTTCTTTTTGAATACCACTAGAAATGCACAACCTTTATCAAGAAAGATGACTATTTTATTAATGTATTAGAAAAAGTGATAGCAAGTCACAACTGAAGTGCCTTCTAATGCTGGGAACCCTGAGTTGATGCAGCATCAGACAGACCTCCAGTCAGGCCACAACATACTGCAGAGATCCTGTCTGTGGTGAGGTTCCCAGCATCTCCTCCTCTCAAATCCAGTCAAATAATTTGTGGAAAAGGTTGTCTAATCCAAGACTTAATAAATGGTAGAACCTTAGAATGAGTAGATATCTATATATGCAAATAAACGTGTCTTTGAAGTGTCTTTTTTTTTTTTTTTAACTAGATATAAAGGAGAGGTTCACCAATTACGTGCTGCTACTAATTGTATGTCTAAGAAATATGGAACAGTTCTCATGGAATCCAGGTGAGTAAGCTAGTAGAAAAATTAAATATAGAATGACAAAGTCCTGTGCTATCAACAACTGTCTCTTCTTTACTCAATCTGAAAGGTAAGCGTAACTAGGAGATTTAATTCAGGAATCTTAATTTGACAAATAACTTAGATTCTCATTTTTTTATTCCTGGCTTTCTTGTAAGAGTGACTCTATCCTTTCTGCTAGAAGTATATGCTGTTATGCTACAAACATGCATAGTTATGTTTCAAGTAGTGTCATGAATGATTTCTTCCCAGCCCTTCCATTTCCTTGGAGTACACTGAGGATGAAGGATCCTCTAGAAAATTTTGTTTTGTGAGGCTAGTGAGATTGAAATTTCATAGAAATTATGTAAACATTTTTCATTTGTAATTTAATGTTGATTATAATTAGGATTTTAATACCACATTGAGTACATTTTATTAAAACTTTAACGATGTTGAACCCTGATCTATATGGTGTATTTTGCTTGAATGTTACCAGTCTACCTAAATTTTACCATAAGCATCTAAAATTACAGGTCCTCTGTCTATTCCTCATACATACTAAACATCTATCTAGTACATGCAAAGATTGTCTTCCTAGCAGAGATGAAGCTTTATGAAGTAAAGGCTTTAGAATGTGATCCTAATGGTGGTATGGTTGTATAGTACTGGTAAGGTTCTAGAACTGCAATGGAATAAGAGAGAACTTGCACACTACATGCTGAGTGGTGATGTAAAGTTACAGACTGTTCAGACTTGAAGATTTTTCACTGTTGAGCAAAAGCGTTATAATTTCTTTTGTGTACTGGCATCAAATTAAATGGCCTAACTTATTTCTTCCCAATCTTCAGATCATCTTTGGGTGTTATTCCCAGATGTTTGCATGGTGGTCGCTTCAGAAATTGCAGTGGATATTGTGAAACATGCCTTTATAACAAAATTCAATGACATCACAGCTGATGTAGGTATTCTGTTTGGAATGCTGAGTGCTTTTTTAAGTTGTAGTTTATTTTGCTAATATTTTTTTAAGTCTTAAAATTGATTCCAGTGCAGGAAATGTAAAAATTGTTATTTTCATATATAGGATATCATTTGGGAAAGCTTAGTAATTTCCTGATATATTATACTTGTGAGGATCTTTATAATGTGGAACAAACACCTCTGCTTCTAAATGAGTAGTTCCAGATCCATAAATTATTGAAAGTGTTATATAACAGTTCACATAATAACCACAGTTCACATAACTGGCAGATAATTTTGTGAAGTGATCACTAGTTAAATTGACAGAAGGTTATTTGTTCCACAGTGTCAAGAGAGCTTGTACCTTTTCCTAACAGAATGGATTGTAGGTTAAAATTTAGGAAAAATGGATATTGTGAGGCTGCTGAATCTCTGTTCTTGCATGTGTGTTAAAGGTGGAATCTGAAATCAGATATTTTTCCACTGTCCCTGGAGCACTAATAGGAAGTAGGTTATGTTAGTTTCCCATTCCTGAATTTTCTTAGGCCATATATGTTATGCAATCCTGCTTTTAAAGTAGTAGATGAAGTTACTTTTTGTGTGGCATGATACATCGGCCATTTGTCTTGCATGTTGTATGAATTCAAATGCACTTGATAAATTTGTGAAGAGATGAGTTAGCATTTTTCCACTATTAAAACCACTTTTCAGGAAATGAGATCAGAACTTGGAAGTGCTATCTTTTTCAGCATCTCTAAAGTTACTACATTGGGCAGTGCAGAAACAAGTTTAATAGATGTGCTTAATAAGCTCCCTGATGCCAGCGGCTTTTATACATGCCCTACTTTCATATAGAGAGTGTGGAAAACAGCAATAATGAAGTCATGATAGCCAAAAATGTAGCATGCTTCAGCGTGCTGAAACAGCTGGAGGATGGCTATGGATGGAGGTAGCGAGTGACAGTTTTGCAAGGTTTATTTAACAAACTTTATATTTTTTTGTATGAAGTTCTAAAGATTTATGGTTGCTAGATCAGACTTTTTCAGAAGTTTTGAACACCTGCAGTGCGAGTTGCCATGCCACTTATCCTTAAAATAGATGCTTTTCTGTCTTAGTATGCAGAACTGTTTTAAAGAAAAAAGCTTCATTCATCTTCTGATACAGTTTGCTTTTTTCATGGGGTCACTTGCTTAGTATATAAGCTCTCTCACGTTTTTAATTTGAACCCAGTGCTGCCTTTCATGGAGCTTAGAACAAATTATGAACTGTAGGAAAAAACATGATTTATCTTTTTGTGTTTCTGATGATCCTCAAATTCAGTAAATGCTTTTATAAAGTCTCATTCAATTGCTAAAACATAGCATAGTGTTGTTTGTTTGTTATATATATATATGCAAGTTTCCTTATTGCAGAAATATAGACTCATCTGTTGAAGGGGGGAGTTAAACCTCAGAAAAACTGACTTTGACTCCTTCAGCCTGTGCATAAGTGTTTATAATATTTTTACAGAAATATTTTACTAATAGCTTCTATAAAGTGTGATAACAAATCAATCACGCATCCGATGTGCTGGATTTTTTCCAGGTCTACAGTGAATACAGAGCCAGTCTTGCATTTGACCTTGTTAGCAGTCGACAGAAAAATGTAAGCCTGAAAATAAATGCATTTTCTTGTATTAATGAACATAATTGTCATGGGGGGGCTATTGAAACAAATACATACAGAAATACATATAGAACTGTTACACTCCTGCGGGACTGAAATTCTACTCTGCTTTTTTTAAGAAGACATAGCAGGAATATTTCTTTGTGATTTATATTATTTTTATCCGGTTGTTCAGGTCAGTTTAGGCTTTAATAGATTGTTGAGAAGTCTCTTCCAAATACATTATAGTCAGGGGATGGTTGTAACAACTTTGACATTTTTTGATATCTGTGGGAAGCAAGTAAGCTTAAGATGTTCTTGGGATAATTTTAAATTACTGTTCTTTTCACTTTATTTTAACTGTGTTGGATCAAAATACAGCATTCATTAGGAATTTGTTATTTCTTCACAGACAGTGTGCAAAGATGTATAGGGATGTTTGTACCGTGCATGTTACTGTTGCGGCATGGGTATTTACAGAACACACAGACTGCTTGTGTTTTTCACTAGTACTGTTTTTTGGAAGACTATTTACAGCATACCTTTCCTGGATGAGTGTCTTAACTATTAGTGAGTGCTCTGGATGAGTGCTCTAAGTAGTAAATGAACTTACTATAATACATTTCTGTAGCTTTCTTGGTCATGTTTAATAGCTTTTGCTAGGAAGGCAGTAGTTACACCTCTTAAAGAAGTTAGACCCCTTCAATTACAAACAATTATTAATAATTTGTTAATTTAAAAAACCAGTTCATTAGTTCTAGAAACCCCATTACTTTTCCTAAGGATCCTCTGTGGAAAATGAGTGCCTATATTATGCTACCTAACTTTGGCATGATGTTCAATACTACATGAAAGTTGTCATGCAAAGTAGTTGTGTTTTGAGAGTTCAAATGTAAATGTATTTTCAAAATTATTTTAACACAATTATCCTGAGGCTAATTACAGATTTTTGTAGAATGATTTAAAGTTGCTAGTATGATGGATAATTGTTCTTTTATCCCTGTTACGGGTTTTTCTGTACAGTATTTGAGGATCAAAGTCAAGTTAATACAAAAAGCTCTCTAAGCTAGTAATAATGTACAGATGAAATATCATAGTGCGTTTGGATTCAGTGTCCTAATTGCTCTCGATTTAGAGATTTGTATTATACTCCAGTTGCTCTTGATTTAGAGCTCTGAAGCTAATCTTACTGGTCATGGTAGTATTAAATTTTTGAGAGTACAGCTATCTGCATTTGAATTTCAAAATGTGAGTAGGTACACTTTATACCAGTATAGTGTTTGTTAGCAGAGATTGATTCTTATCTAGAGAGGGTGTGCCAAGCTAAAATAAGCTCATTCCTTTAAATAAATAGTTCATTATTCTTCCTCTTTTTTTTCCTAGGCATATACAGATTATAGTGATTCAGTTTCCAGAAGAATGGGTTTCATTCCTCTTCCACTGGCTGTTTTAGTAAGATGTCTTTCCTATCAGTTTTCCATCAATAAGATCTCACTTGGAGAATATATGCCTGTGAAATAGCTAGCTCGTTTTGATGTTTTGAGGATGAAATGATCACCTTAAGTAACTAAAATGATGCTGCAAGGTTGAGTTAGCATTCAGTGTAACCTCTATCACATACTAGTTATGACTTCGCGAATGGATTACTGTTTATCAGCCTTTCATAGAAAATTGAATATATATTAATTTTATAGAATTTATAAGTACTTGAATTGTTGCAGTGGAATTAAACTACATCTGTGCTTATTAAACATTTATTCCTTTTGGCAATTATCCTGTTCATTCATTTGGAATAGTCAAAGCAGCGGATTGCCAGAAGGTTAGCAGTAGTGTACTAGAGTTTTTTTAGATTTTCTAGGAGTCCTTGTGGTTGTCCCTGTAATGGTATGCTTAATGACTGAGTCTTCTTTTATATGGGGCACTGAGCTTCTGACCTGTTGTAGAATACTTGATTCTGAAATAATTGACCCTATTACATGGACATGCTGCTATAAAATGAATCACTTCATTATTGGAATTGGGTCCACATGCTGTCTGTTCTGAATTAACTATTGCAGAATGTTTTCTAGAAGTAGCTGCTCTGACTTTCCCCATACACACATGTAGACAAGCAATAGTTATCATACTGGGAATGTGTCCTTGCTTTGCCAGAAAAGATGCTAATTTGTAATTTTCCTGAAAGAATATCAAGGTAAATTAACTTTTAAATGTAATGTTCTCGAATGGAGATGGGGGAAAAACTACTACTGACAGGCTTTGCTTGGTTTTTATGCAGGATTTAAACACATGCACACCCCACCCCTAAAAAAACCCCAATACCCAACCAACCAACCAAAACTCCAAAATAACTGTGATCATAATCATGATTTCTTGTATAACTAAGTACATCCAGCGAGAAGTTGATTGAAGTGCTTTTTTTTTTCAAGTTAATTATGTTCTGATTAGGATATCCTAGATACTAATAAGTTTAAAACAAACTGAAGTGCTTTGCTAACTTGGAACCCTAACTATGAAATACTGAAGTAAACCTGAGATTTCAGGATCATTTGTTACTGAAATTTGGGATTCATATGCCTACTCCACAAAGCAATTTTGTATTCAAAATGTTGGCATAGTGTGAAATGCTAATTCTGTTTCACTGCATCAGCATCTTTTGACATTTTCCTCAAAAATTGTTAACTCAGCTTTCAGCCCCTCACTTTTGAGGAGGTGTTTTTCACTTGTTTTCCTCAGAAGTCAGTGGTGAAGGAAACATTATCAGACTGTAGTTTTGGCAAAGTTGCAACTAGGTGCTAGTATATACAAATTATTCAAACCAAAATCTTGCATAGTTAGCACTATCAAGGGGAACATTCAAATAAATTAATGTTTGTACTTCTGTTTTGAATTTACCAAATAAGAAATGTCTGTTAAAAGATTCTATTAATAATTGTGTGCTATGTGTTTTAACTGTTTAACTTTTATCCTTAAAATAGCTCATCAGAGTCGTAACAAGCTCAATAAAAGTACAAGGAGTCTTAGCTTATGTTTGTGTTGTGCTGTTCTACTGTGGGTAAGTAAATGCACACAATTGAAAAGTATTTACCATTATTTGATCAGATATGTGAAAAAAGCTCCTGTTGATGCTTCTCGGTGTAAGTGTAAACAGAGTTTATGTTCAGTAGAACATAAATGTAAAACACTTAAGCTCGTGAACTGAAATTGAGAGTGCAGATTGGTCCCTAAGTACTATAACTGCATTGGGGCATTATAGCCCTCAGTAAGTACCTTCAGTCATGAAAATAACTAATGGAAAAATGATTGAAAGAATTTGACAGACAAGCGCCATACTTGTGCATAAAAGGGGAATTTGAATTCTAAGGAATGAAACTTTCTGTGAAAAGAACTAAAGATTCAATATGCCAACAAAAATAAGCAGTTTAAATGCTCTGAGCAGATGATGAATTCTACTCTCTGGTAGTTAAATGCAAGTTTTCTTTGTGTTAGGAAACTGCTATATGAGAAAATACAAAGCTCACCTTTCTGGGAAGGGTGGGGTTGGTAAGTAATCTTACTTAAGGAATATAATGTCCTATAGCAATTTGTTTTCCAAAACCAATGATTGGCAAGTATCCCTTCATTGCCAAGTCAGTTTATACTTGTGTCTTCCTTAATTTCTCACCAGTCAATACGTACTTCTGAGATGCGTTTAGTTGTATTTTAAGTCAAGTCTAGTTTCCCTGTCTTGAGTCACTTGCTATATGGGCATGACCAGTTTCTGGGAAAGCTGCATACTGAATTGTGTCAGCGTTTGTTGTCTCTCAGTACTGATTGATAGTGGAGTCCTCCTAAAACTGATCATAAAGAATGAAGTGATTCAAATTGCTGCAGCACAGAGAACCTGTCTGTGGTATGGTGCAAATATCTCTTCTAGTGCCCTACCAAGTTATGTTTGTGACTGAAGGCAGCAAGACTTGGAAGGTAAAAGACATCTAGGTCTGGGGCAGTGG